TAATAATACAATAATTGTTACAATTACACGATTATAGTAATAAATATTATACTGATCCTTTTCCTCTGTTACAAATATCTGTGCATGCACACACACACACACACACACAGACTGTTCTTAAGAGCCAAAACAGTCCTAAAACAGAGCCTAGAAATAAGTAATAGAAGTTCTTTATTCAATAACTAAATTTAGAGAAAGTGGGTCATCAGTAAGACGAGAATTTGGCATGGACCATAACTGTATCACTGACCAAAACAATATCTTTATGACTTTCATTCCTAAAATATGGCTTACGCTGATTGAGGGCTGGGGTTGGCGAGGGTTACACTGTGCCTTGCCAGGGCACTCAGACCTGTCCCCTCCTCCCTTCTTTATCTTACGAGCCAAAAATCCTGTCCATCACTGCTCTAAGTCCTATGCAAACATGCCATCTGCTGTGGAATTTATTTAAGTGATACTAATTTAATCAGAGGCAACCTGCATTGGAAAACTCTTACATAATTATAATCAGAACACAAAGATGGGACTAAATGTGGGCTCTAATTTTAGACGCAGTACCTGTAAGAGAACAGCAAAATTTTCACTCTGAATGATCTTGGGGAAGTTTCCTGTAATAAACGCAATACACTCTTCCTGGAGCTGGGATGCCATAGCCAGTGCTGCGTCTGTCCACTTCACTCTGGGTAAACTGCCGATCAGCCTGTCGCTTTCCATCAGAAGAAAAGCAGCATTCTTATCATTCTTATAATTTTAAAAATATTAGGGGAAAAAGTTAGATTACTGTTCATAAAAATAACTTTCCAAGCAAATAAAATACTTCTGTTTTCTTGTGATGTTTCCTGCAAAAAGCAAGATTCCAGGTAGCTAGTATCTTTGTCATTCGCTTCACATATTTATTCATTCGTTCAGAATTACCCCAAAGGGCAAACTGTGAGCTGGGAACAAATCACCTTTAACAAGAGCTAAAACAAACCTGAGAGCTAAGTTACAACTGCAAGGGAAAACGTGACCTTCCTGAGATCTTCACTACTGAATTACTGTTTGTGCTTACAGATACTATTCATAACTGCATGGCTACACTGACATAGCTTTAATTCTTTTCTGACTATAAAATACATGTTCTTTATTACGAATTTAGAAAGGCTAAAAATTACTTATAATCCCCAGTGACTTTCTTTTTCTCTAATTAGGTAAGACTCTTCTTTTTATATTTTATTTATTTAATAATGACTCATTTTTATGCCATAGGAAAAATGTTCACAAATACTGATCTCTATGAAAAATGGAATAATTCACAAATACCATATGCTCCAAGGAAGAGAAAAAAATGGCAACTTATAAATTGCTGTATCTTATTCATGTTTGATTCTAGTTCTTAAAACAATGCTTAGGAAATAACTTGAATAAATAGTTCCCTGACTGATTATAGTAGATTGAAAAACATGGCACAAATTCTTTGTAAATGCATCCACAAAGAGGTGGAATCTATTTCCTCTTCCCTTGAATTGAGACTGGCCTTTCCACTTGCTTGCACAGACAGGGGTGTGCACGTTTCAGAGCCTGTGCCTCAGGCAGCCTTGCACACTCTTTACGCTCTTGGTTCTGGGGCACCATGGAGCCATAAAGAAGCCTGGTAAAAAAGACCACATGGAGTGGGAGGCCCAGGCTCCCACTTAGCCACCAGCTGAAAGCAGCTGCAGGACTGAGCCCAGGCAAGGTAAGCAGAAGAACCATGCAGTCAACCCACAGAGAATAAAGTATGGTTTAAAGTCACTCAGTTTTGGGGTGGTTTGTTCACAGCAATAAGTAACTGGTAAATCTAGAAATGACAGACTGAAATCCTTAACACAGGATGCATGATGTAAACTTTGCACACCGGCTGTACCCTTCAGCTTTCAACTCAAGCACTGTGTCCTCCCTGATTTATACACCTACATCAGATTCCTTGTATACATGCCATCAGAGAACCTGGCCCTTCTCTTTAGAGCACTGAATTCATTTGTACTTACTCAATCATGAAATAACTATCTGATTAATACCCATCTCTCTCACTAGGCTGTATGTTTACTGAATGTGAAACCACGTCTGTTTGGGCTCACCCTTGTATCCATGGGCCAGTACAGAACTGGGTCAAAGGAGACACTCAGCATTTGTTGATCTCTGAGTATCATCAGAGACTGAGTCTATAAGTGAATTCCTAAGCTAAATTAAGTTTAATCCTGGAATTTCAAAACTTTAAAAAGTTCACCCATTTACCAAGAATTCTTCCAAAATGTATTACGTACGTCCCCTGCTTTATTTATTTGAGTACAAAAAAAAATCGAACTTTGCTATAATTCAAGTCTTTTTTTTTTTTTTAGTACTATCATCCTTCCCTCCCCTGGTGACTTCCTGAGTAACTGCGCAATTACTGTGAGTTTTAGGCAATAAGCCCAATTTGCTCTACTATAGGGCTTGTATCTGGTATTAGAGACAAGTACAGGGCATTCAAATAAACGTGGCAGGTACCTACAAAGTGCCTCCTATACACAGAATGTTACGTGCTCTGACAGTAGCATCTTTTTAAAAATGCAAATGTAGAGTATAATTGTCATCATTTAGCTTGAAATCTATTAGAAAACTAAAATACGCACATAAATGATAACAGATGGTATGGGATCTGATTCCATACTGATCTGAATAAGTGATAACATTAAATGTTAGAGTAGCCTGAGGTTCAAAGAAGAAAGAAAATGTAATACCCTTCTAGACCAAACCCACAAAGTTTTAAGTTCAATAGTTAACATAGCACAGAATTCAAACCTCAAAACTATATAAAAGGCATTACTACGAAGTCTCCTGCTCCTTCTTGTCCCAAGCCACTTAGTTTCCCTTTTTCCAATCACTATTATTTATTTTCTGTATTTTTCTAGTTACTTTATGCATACACAAACAAAAAAATGTAACTTTCCCCTTGTCTTACTGAGATGGAGGCATTAATATGCACAGTGCTCTGTATGCTGCCCTTTATACTTAGTATACATTTTGAGTATTTTTCTTACCAGAATATAAAGAGCCTTGTTATTGTTTTAATAGCTATGTCACAGTTCATAATATGGACATATCGTAAGTTATACAGCCAGTCCTCCACTTGTACACGTTTACACTGTTTCCAGTTTTTGCTATTACAGTGCTGCAGTGAATGACCTTGTAGATAACATCATTTCACACATATGTGAATGTATCTATAGGATAAATCCCTAGAAATAGAATTGCTGGGTCAATGCTGCTTGTCTTATCCTGGGTTCTGCCTATAACCGACCCTGAGAAATAGGTTTGTATGCTAGTGATCCCAAAAGAATCTGAGGCACTGGGAGAGCGAGACAGGGCGGAGGGAAAGGTATGTTTTCTAGCTCCTTGTTCCTCAAAACGTGATCCGCAGCATCATCACCTAGAGCTTGTTAGAAAGGTAGAATCTCAGGCTCCGCCCCTGACTTTACTGAATGAGAACTGACATTTAACCACGATCTCGAAGTGTTCTGGATATACATTAAAGTTTGAGTATGGCATTTCCTATTGTAGGCAACCGGGGATCCGTCTTGCTGGGGACCTTCTGAAGAGCCACAGAGAACGCACTTTGAATTATTCACCCATGGGACAGATCAGAGAAACGTTTAACTATGGGTTCCCATCTCTCATCAGTCAAGGTATGTCCTCTGAGATGTTAATTCCCTTCTACTTTCAGGTTTGCGCAGCTGTAGGTACCGTGTGGAGTAACAGTGAAGCCTCGGGATAGAAAGTGAGAATTATGTGTGATGTGGCCGAGGGAGAACGGTCTCAGGTTACACTCGTGTGCAGCCAGGTGCTGCAGCAATGGTTGGAGGACACACGTGGACCAAGAGGGTATGAGGTGAGGCACCAGGAGAATCCAAAACATTGCCAATGTGTACTCAACGGAGCACTGTTGTCCAAACTGTTAGTTTTCTCCCCTAGCAACCTACAGAAATATATTTAGTGGCTTATAATCAGCCCTAGAAAACAACCACCACCAAAAGATATAAAAGAGAAAAACAGAAAATACCAGAACACCATGTATAGTAACGGGAAGTGTTCTTTTTGAAGCTTCTTTCCGTTCTACATGTGAGTGTTCTGGGTTATAATGTAAAGAACGTGCTCTCGGTCACAGTCCAAAAACGTTCGAAAACTGAGCCACAGCAAAAGTTGTGCTAATTTATACTCTCCCCAGGGATGAATAGGAGTATCTACTCTCTACATCCTTGTTAACATAGTACAAATTCCCCTTTTTTTAATAGTAAAATGTAGAAAATGGTTTGACATTAATTTCAATATCCATTTCTCTTAAATAAATGAAGTTGAGGATTTGTACATCAAATTAAAAGGCATTTGAATTTTTCTCTGTGAACTATCTAATTGTATCCTATGTTTAGCTGTTTTTTAAAAATCAACGTGTAGGAACTCTTTATACTACAAAATTTAGAATAAGAGTATGGTATGAAGTGTCATTTGTCTTTTGACTTTGCTTATGGTAGTTTTTACTATATAGAAATACTGCATTTTTTATGTAACCAAATTCTTTTATGGCTTCTGAATTTTGTATCCCCACTCCCCTGATCAGGTTACAAAATAATTCTCCCAGGGTTTAGTGTATTTTTTACTGACTTATAGTCATATTGTAGTATTTTAATGGTTTCATTTTCCTTACTTACAGATCTTTGATCCATTTGGAATATATACTGGCGTACCAGGATGTGATGTATAGATCCAACTTAGCTTTTTTCCAGCAGCTTCCTGGTGGTTGTCCTAACACCATGTGTTGAATAAACACTGCAACTCACACTATTTAGTACTTAGGACATTGTGCAAATCAAACAGGCCCCCAGTTGCCTTTCGGCCTCAGGACTGACAGCACAATGCGTGTGACTTCAGGTTCACCCTGGACTATCCCTGCTCCTGTTTTTGTTTTACTTTTCCTACCTTTACAAACTCTGCAAAATCTGCTTTTTAAAAAGGGCTTAAACAAAGCACTTGTTTTTGAAACACAGTATTTAATCATGTTCTGAAATAGTTCAAGTAATTACAAATCCTAACTTTCCTCACACCTTTCTCTCTTCTGCTCCCTCCTCCTCCCTGCTCTCTTCCTCCCCATACAACCAGTCCTCTACTTGTAAATGTTCACACTGTTTCCAGTTTTTGCTATTACGGTGTTGTAATGTGCCCTGGAGGCACTGGACCTAGTGGCACTGTAACTGAGTCTTCACAAGATCAATCCTTCATTCTGTCAAGGCAGCTGCTTCCAGATGACAGGGAACGGGGTAAGACAGGCGAAAGCCATTAGCATGGGCCCATTGCCATACTGCAGTTGCTGTGAAGTGAGTTTTTTAGTCGGAAGTGATGCTGTGTGGAACACTAGGATGGTGGAAAAGGCAGTAAGTCCATGGATAGCAGTTTCACCAGAAACACTGGGAGTAAGGAAGGCAAATCCATATCCAGAGCGACTGTCTATTCCACTGAGAGCAAAGCATTGCCTTTTCCATGATGAAGTGGTCCAACGTGATGAACCTGCAACCAGGTAGATGGCCGGTCCTCTCGGGGAATGGTGCCATAGTCTCAGTGTTGTGCTCAAATCCACCTTAGTGAGCGGAGGTCCACGTTACTGAGCCAATGCATGACCTCCATCCCTGGTACCATGCCCCTTTTGTTCATGAACCAATATATACAGTGGTTCTGCTTCTCTGAATTCTGACAATGTATTTGGTACAGAGGAACAGTCTTAAAAACAGGTTCTCCAAATTGGTTCTGGGTCATCTGGAATTGGTTCCCTCATCTTGCTTCCATAATATAATTCTACATTTGTATTTGAAACACTGAAAGTATCTATATAAATTTAATAAACTTTCTGATGACAAACACAAACAAGGATATTCAGATTATACTTACTAAGGACTGAATCAACATATTAAGACAACTTTTCTGAATCTCAGGAGGTACACTTGCAAAGCTTCTCTCAGACCAAAATCTTGCAAAATGCTTTACAATCCACCTGTTAAAAATCAAATTACCCCAAGTTAGAGAAATAAAAGTATTTTTCATTAAAATATTCAGTAACACTTTGGTTTTCAATGATGTAAGTTTTACATATATATGTCTTGACTAACCCTAACAGTTAATTTTGTGAGTGCTATTACGGACTTAACTATCTCTCTTCTGTAAACACATATTTTAAATCCACTTTGGATTATGTACATAGATTTGAACGTAAGTAACCAAGGTTCAGCTAAAATAAAATTGACCCAAGCATCTAGAGCAATATCTAAATCAATACTTCTCCTCAGTTGTTGCAACTAGTTAAGCATTAAGCTTCTTACACTGTGCCCAAGAAAATAGGCCAAGTCTAAAATTTCCCAGAAAATAGGAGAATGGAAGAACAAAATCACTAAATTAATGGTATGAGCACTACTTCAGAGCACTTACTTCATGCAGTCAGCAAAAAGACTTTCCACTCCAACTGAATGAGCAATAATCAGGCATTCTAGTACAGATGCCAACCTTCTGGGAACAGGCTAAAATTGATAGAAAACACTACATTTATTCTTTTTTGGCTTACAGAGGTTAAAAGTATTTGGTTCATAAAAATGATCTGATTTATATATATAAACTGCAGAATACACAATGTAATTCAAAAGTCTGTTATTCTTTTAAAATCAAGTATCTCTGATAACCTTTAGTTTCACAGAATAGCATTTGAGCTCTTCTAGCTGCCAAAACGCAAACAATTTTTATTCTAATTTCTTTTAGCTTAAATATGGTCTAGAGTAAAAGTGGCATAGTGATTCCTAGCACGGCACGTTGCAATACAACCATATGGCCTAACCTGCTTCCTAAAGTATGAGTGTAACTCTCAGAGCACGTGCAATGGGAGGCCCTACGTTTTATCCTCAGATAAAAACCACAGCATTTAATTAGATCATCATTATGTAAAAATATTTTTTTAAAAGCACATACACGTAAGTACTGAACTAAAACAATAAATAAATAAAGTGTAGATACAAGTAGTGAAAAACAGCTCCCTGCTCTTGGTGCTAAGCCTCCATGTGTGCTACATACTGCTTGTGCCATGCATTCTCACTTCCTAAATTTTTAAATTCTGAATTGCTATTAATTTGACTTTCTAATACCCCTCTCCTAAAGGTGTTACACAGTATTTAGGAAACTGAACATAAACATCCCGTTTTGCACGTCAGCAACTTAGTTACTCCCTCTGAGGTAACCGGAGGTATGCTAAGCCGTCCCAAAATCAAAGTGGCTATCACTGTATCAATTATGCAGCGACAATTCTACTAGGTATGTAAGTTGGTTTTCTAACGCACTTCAAGCAAGATCAGACTAGTGTGAGGCAAGAGACAACTGGTGTTGACAACCTAAGAGCACCGAGAAGCATGAAAAATTGTAACCGTGAGCACAGAAGCGAGGCAGCACAGCCGTCTCGTTCTACGGAGGCATGTCCAGCCGACAGCACACAAAGCCCCTACTTGATGTGTAACGGAAGAATAACTTCCACAAAAAATATTCAACTGCAGAATAATCTGCTGCGTAAAGCAAAGGCGGGCAAACCAGCTCGCGGACCAAGGCCAGCTCACCGTTTGCGCGAGCAAAGCTTCACCGGACACCGCGCGCACCGCGCACAGCCGCGGCCGCGCTGCCGCAGCGACGCCGCGCGGGCGTCAACGGGCCGCACGAACCGCAGAGTCTAACGTTAGCTGCCGAGCCTTTACAGAGGAAGTTTACTGACCCGGGGCTTAAAGGGAGTCCTAGCTTTCCGAGAAGTTTGTTTATAAGGAAATGCAGGCTTCCTAAGTGTTTATGTAATAGGATGACTGACCTTTAATCATTTTCAAAAGCTGCTTGTAAAATTTGGGAAGACATTTATGTAAATCATTACCTAAAATATATTATTAAATCAGTGGCAAAAAGCACAATGTAAAGCCCACTATAATCCTACAGATGAAGCTGTAATATTTTAACTGTGTAAAAGGCAAGATTGTGAAGTTAACGAAATGACTGAAGCTAGCTTGCCAGGAGTTCCAGGCCAGCTACCATCATATTAACCCAAAGGTACGTTACTGCAGAGCGCGCTGTTACAGACTTACTGTCCTCAGGTCACTGCTGAGAAACTGCGTAACTGAGATCCACAAGTTAAAAATTACACGTTCAAAAATATATTTATAAAAATATGCATTGTTAAATTATGTAAAGCAAAAAACTTAAAAATCAGGTCAATAAAAACCAAAACTGCTCTCAAATATCTGCTACCACAGTAATAGAGACTATGTTAAAATATAGTGAGAAAAGTTTTCAACAAAATGCAGTATTGATAATTAAAAAGAAATTTCATCTTCTGTTGTTTTAACGGCAACAAATATGCCTTTTGTATTTTTTAAACATTTTTTTAATGATTTATAATCATTTTACAATGTGTCAAATTCCAGTGTTCAGCACAATTTTTCAGTCATTCATGGACATATACACACTCATTGTCACATTTTTTTCTCTGAGTTATCATAACATTTTGTGTATATTTCCCTGTGCTATACAGTATAATCTTGTTTATCTATTCTACAATTTTGAAATCCCAGTCTATCCCTTCCCACTCTCCACCCCCCGGGCAACCACAAGTCTGTATTCTCTGTCTATGAGTCTGTTTCTGTCCTGTATTTATGCTTTGTTTTTGTTTGTTTTTTAATTCGACATATGCAAACTCATATGGTATTTTTCTTTCTTTTTCTGGCTTACT